AAACATTCGTTACAGGCGTGTCTGTCCTTCATCAGTGGATAAAAACAGTGCATAGCCCTTTCGGGGCTGATAATAGTAAGACCTTTGAACACATAAGATAAAGGAAAGCTGATCTCTAAGAGAAGGATTTGGTTCAAAACTGGAATACATATCTGGGGCCAGTTACCAGGAAGACACTGGGAGTTTCACCTCAGGAGCAGGGAACTGGAACACCAGCTAGGGATGTGGATTCAGCCGCTGGGCTATTTTTGGCTCGTGAACCATCCTAAGGGCTGTTTATTTTTAAGGTCATTTTCTGTTTGCATAGCATGTACACCCTTCTGGTGGGTGGGAGGCATTGTAAAAACAATCACTGCTGCACAGGGCTAGGAACTGAGCTTGGAGAGGGATGGAAAAAACAGAACTCTGTGTACTTATTACTTTAAAACGCAAAAACATCTGCTTAGGTCATAAGGTTTGTTGGCCCAGTCTAAGCTGTATCCCCACCGGAAAAATACCGGTTCAATTAATACAGACTACTGCAGGGGATTGCAAAAGACTTGGGAAAACTCAGTCAGATGATAACATGGTATAAATAGAAAGGAAGCATCAGATTTGGATTTTTTTTCACTTGCCCTTACCTTCAAGCAGTAAATAGAAACCCAGAGCAGTCTCCCCACAGCTGAGGAGTCAGAACTCGTGCTGGCTGGCTGGGCCTGGATCCCAGATCTTGTTTAAGATTCTTGTTCAATAACAACACACTTTATTGTCCTGTTTTCCTGGCTTCTTCCTGTTGGCCAGATCTTTATTCACAGAATCAACTGATACAAATTCATTGGAAAAGGCAGTTTACAAAAGACAGTAAGAATGATTACTTTGAACTGAAATTTAAAAAACCCTAAGTCTGGCCATCTGGCAGGCAATGCACTGCTTGTAAAAGGTCATGGTAAGGAATCAGTTTAACACTGGCAGTGTATTCCCAGCCGTGTTGCTTTTCCAGAGGATAAAATACACAATGCAAAAATATACTAAAAGTCATAACAGAGTTTGTAGAAATGTCTGCTGCAAAACAATTGCTGTTGTCTGATTTTTCTGTATATTTACTCCCACACTACATTCTAATAGAATACTTGCATAAACACCATTTATTTCTAACTTAATTTGAACTTTAAAGTTGAGCTCAAGTTAACTGTAAAGTCTTTGGCTCCCATCCTTGAAGTACGTAAAGGACCTTAGCTTTGGGCTCATGAGACTGATAGACAAGAGGTGAGCCCACAAGTGAGCACTCAATGCCTTGGACAGCAGCCCAGGAAATAGTGCTGTACTTCATAGGATCTTCATTTGGGGCATTTTCCTGGATTTTTCAAGACTTTTAACAAGTCTTCCCTGGGATGTCCTTTTACCTGACAGGCGTGAGTTCTTCCAGGTTTCTGGCAATCTGGTGTAACTGCCTGTGTTGGAGATCTGGGCTCTGCACTTAGTTGAGTCAATGTCTTTCTCTCCTTATTTCACTGCTCAGTATAATTTTACCTGTCCCTTTCCCCTCTCTTTCCTTCCTCCTGGCCCAGTACCACCAAGAGGGTTTCTTTCCAAGCAACAGACCTGGATGCTCCAGTGCTTTGTTAAGGCTGTTCAAACTGAGACTCATTCAGAGCACCATTCTCTTAGTGTTTCCAAGGTTGAGACACTTGTGTGTAGACATGGAAGCTGGTGCTGGCCTTACTGTGCAGGGATGAGCAGCTATCCCCTCGAGCTGGCACACCTGCACTGAGAATCTCTGAAGCAGATGCAATGCTCATGGAAAATGATATCCAGAGTGCCCCTTGTCATGACAGAGGAACACACGGTGAGCAGGCAACAGTGTTTAACTCCAGGATTTCTTGCTCCTTTTTCTCCCAAGAGCCAGTCCCAAAAACAGTTCAAAAAAGAAGTTAGTATTGCTGTGTTTCTGTAGAGAGGAAGACTAAGGCACTGAAGGGTGAGCTGGCTTGGCCGAGACTGATCCGCAGGTCTCTGCCCCAGTCTGTGCTCTTCACTGAGCTGTTCCTCTCTGTGCTCGCATTGTATGAGACATTCTCAGAGAGGTGACCTCATCTCTGCTCCCCCTGCAGACACCACACACAGGGCCAAGATCCACCTTCCCAGGCATGGCCTCCAGAGAAAACACCCAGAAGGACATGCATTGGAGGCCAGAGGTTGGCTTCCCAATGTCGAAACACCGCCAACTCCCAGGGAGGTCAGCTATGGAAAGATGACCAGGATACTTCTGAGGTATAAAACTCTGTGTCTCCTGGCCACTGGTCAGCTTTGTCATCATCAGACTTGTCACTGTCATCACCACTGGAGGGCTCGTAGCCCTGGATGGCAGAGCGGATTGGCTCCATCTGCCTCCGATCTGCCTCTGCCTCCTTCTTCTTTTCTGCCAGCAGCTGCCTGTGGCACAGGTTGCAGACCCTCAGGGGCTTGGGGGACAGCCTGGGCATCAGGAACCTCTGCCTGGAGCAGTCTGCGCAGACGACGAAGCCGCACTTGCGGCAGTGGTGCCTCCGGGTGAGCGTGGAGAACTTGGTCTGCGTGCAGCGCATGCAGATGTCCGTGGCCTTGTCTGGGATCCAGGGAGCAGCGTGCTCCGTGGAGGGCTGCCGGCCCGTCTTCATCAGCAGGTGCCTGATGCACTCCTCCAGATGGCTGATCCACTCCTTCCTCTCCGTCAGGGAGGCCGCAGAAACCACGAAGGACTTCTTGGAGGTTTTAATCATCCAACGGTTCTTCATCTGCAAGGTGTCTGGCAGCGTCTCCAAAGTGACATCTTCAAGGGGAATGATGTGCTGGGAATTGTATTTCCTTTTGTTGATGACTATGCTGCCGTAGACGAGGATGTCGTTGAAAAGGAAGAATATGCGAGGCTTCGGTTTCTTGCGGCATTCTTTGGTTAAAATCCCTTCTCCTAGCAGGACCCTTCCTGGCAAGGCCAAGGGCTGCCCAGAAGCCCCAAAGCAGTTTTCCACAGCAGCAATGCGCTGGCTGTTGATCTCGGTGTTTGCAAGATGGTCCACCATCTCCAGCTCACTCTGGAAAGAGCAAAACAAAAAGAGTGAAGTGGTGAAGCAGCAAACATCTGCACTGGGGATGAAGGTGAGTGGCTAATGTACACACAGGTGAGATGCTCCTAATGCAACCAGAGGATACAAGTAAACTCCTGAGCACTCCTCGCTTTAGTTTGCTACCTTTCGAACTAAAATTTTCAAACTTTCTGACCTCACTTTGCAACAGCCCAGACTGTACTGGATAGGTCAGTTTGCAGCAATGGAAGCCCTGGAAGGCAGAGCCAGATCTTCCATGGCAGCTGTGCTTTTTACCAGTCCAACTCCTTGCCCTTGGTAAAAAAAGCTGCTTGGTCTGAACCTTTTTTGATGCAGGTAGAAGTACTTGCCCAGGAGTTACTGTACTGACAGCTGAAGGGTACCAGGACCTGTCCTGTCTATGCCTCTTGGTGCTGGGAGCTAACTTAGGCTGTGCTGGACATAGGCTCAGGGTGGAGATCCATACTCTTGTGAGCAAGCCTCCCATTTCTGACTGCACACCTGCTTCCTCAAGGATTAGTTAGATACACACACACACCCCACAGCCCCATTTTGGGCCAGAGCTGAGGTAGGGACAAAATGAAACACTGTGGTATCACTTGTCCTCCCTGCTTGACAAAAAGGGGAAAATAAAAAAAAAGGCAAAAAGCCCCCATTATGTGAATAAACCCACAAAAGCCAAGCCTTTCCTCCATGCCCCCAGGCTGCCAGTGCTTCCAGTTACAGGACACATGATTCTGAAAATAGTCTGATCTCTGCTGAAGGGGAAGTGGAATGCAGCACGCTCATCCCTCCCTCACCTCTGCACACTCCTTCTCACACAATCTGGGATTTCAATAGTCTGTTGGGGTTTTCCTAATAGAAAACCTACGTAAGGGTAACTCTGAAGCAAAAGCAAATTTTTGCTGCCGTAGTTTGAAATAAGGAAGGTGCTCCATGCTGTAAGTTCATTTTTCATTGCCCCTAGCCCCTTGAGTGCTGAAGGGTGCTGCCCAAGGCCAGCCAGCCATGGGAATGTGAGTCACTTCCTCCTCCTCCAGGGAGGTAGCTCAGCCATCACGAGGCAGCTCCGAGATCACAGGGACTTGTGGTTGGTTCATCAAACCACTAGTGCAGAGCTGCTCTCTCCACTGCTTTCCCTGTGGTCCTTGTCCAGGGTCTCTGCCACCAAGGAGGCTGGAGGGGAAAGGGAAGAGGAGGAGAACAACATGCCTGGTCCTGTGTGTTTGGGACAATGATGATTTACATTCTACTCTTGCCCTTCAACCCAGATCACCCTTTTGCTATGCTAGAAGGGAAACCACAGAGCTGCTGCTGGAGGCTACTGCACACCATTTATCTCTTGCCTGAGCTATCTGGCAGACAGACCAGTCAATTCCTCTGAGTTCCCAGAATTTTCTTCTCTAGAGCATGTCAGGGGGAAAAGGCAAGAGGCCAAGATGCAGGTTTAGTCCTGACAGACCTAAACAAAGCAACCTACCCTGCAGAAATAGCTTTCAGAGAGAAGCAGTGAGTGGCCAGTGCTCCTGAAGAGCAAAGGGATTTGTTACTTGTCATCAGGAGAGGAGAAAGGCTCCATTCCCTTCCTTGATTCAACAGCCTGAGTGGACCTGTGCACGACAGGGAGCTGCTCTGCTGCAGGACAAACATCCACATCTGTTCTAAATGACAACAGTGCAGCATGTGGGTTTTTTTTTCTCTCCCTCACAAATACACAAAGTAGGCTGAAGAACAAACAGGCAGGGCAAACTATGGTGCACAGCTGCACACCAGACTCCCTGATTAGGATTACCCAGAGTCTCACCTATCCTGGGATGTGGTTTCCTACAAAGAAATCCTTGGATGAGGAGCTTTTGAGTGAAAGAGCAAGATGAGAACACAAATACTAAAGGAAAAGCTGAAATTATAGCTTGGGATCTTTGGTGTGCAAAGACTGTGAATGCAATAAAATACTGTCAAGAAATTTTGGCACCAGCAAAACCAGGTGGGATAAACCAAAGCAGTCAATCCTGCTCCCACCAGTCTTGCTTCCTCATGTTCCTGGATAATGGAGCTCTTAGCCTACTTATTTTAACTTTCATTTTATGAATTTTAGAAGCATGATCCAGCCTTTCAAGAACACACGATACTTGACATGACTCTATTTTCTAGGGATCTCTGCACACCAGATCGCAGTGGAAATGAAACTTCTGTCAGATATGAAGACTGTGCCTGCATAGAGCCAGGAAATATGAGCTCATGTTCAAAGAGGAGTGCAAGTCCTGCTGCCATGAAAGCTTTAGCTGTTGCATTGACTTGGGTCCCTGTATAGGCCAGAAAGCTCTTGGACTTTCTGTGTGGAGTGAAAGGAAGAGGGGCTGGACACAATTCTGCAATGTGAAGGTGAGCTCTCATTACACATCACACTTCCAGCTGCAGGTATGTCCTTATTCCTTCACCCTCTGGCTTGTTACATAGTTAAAATGCCACAAGTTAACCAAAGAAAAGCTAAGTCTGCCCTGAGAAAAACTTCCTGCTAAGACTGAAAGTGTTGACTGTTGCTCTAGCTTAGGGTATTTCCCAAAGGAGTTTTCCCAGGGATGGAAAAGCAGAATGTTTTTCTTCCATCTTTTTTCCTTCAGGCATAAGTGACTGAAGAACAGCATATACACTAAATATATACTAAAAACTAAAAAAAAAATAGGAGTGAGATTCACATCACCTACTTTTAGACTTGAACAACTAACTCTATCCCTGTCTGCCCTCCCTTTTCAGTTAGTGGGGGAGAAACAGCCATCTGAGAGGGTGACTCACCACTAGCCAGATCAATCCTGCCCCGAGTTCCAGATAGCACTCAGCTTGAGTAACCACATAAACCCCAATTTAATGTTATTATTGTGACTCACTGCAAATACTCAGTTTGGCTTTGGCATGCAAGTACTTTGTGAATTTGGTAAATAAAGATAGCTGCTGAGTGCTACTATAGCCTCCTTTCCTGGGAGATGAGAGTCTCTCCCTTTGGAACAAAAAATGAGGATACGAAGTCTAATGTTTTTTATTCATTTTGGTAAATATTTTTTTCCTCTTTGCTCAAGTTTGCTGTGTCAGGTCAAGCAGGGTCTTGGTGCTTATTGCCAAGTGCTGTGTATGCCCATGTGCAGCAGCAGCCAGCTGAAATGAGGGGGGGAGATGTATTTTACTGGCATGTTGCTTTTCACAGGGGTTCTTAGCATGGCACATTTTGAGGTTGTTTTTTTAATCAAGGTCTGTTGGTTCTGCATGTGATCAAATATGCAGTGAATATATAACTCAGCGAATATGGCTGATACTCAAAGGAAAAAAAATACTGCTTGGCACTCCACTCCAGAAGTGAGCATGCCCCGACTTTTAACAATGAATGCTTGTTCACTTGTGATTATAAACAACCATGCTGATGCATGCCAGGCAGAATTTCAACTTAAGTTCCTGGGTCAGTGAGTATGGGGTATGTTTTTCAAGTCTGTGTGTATATAACACTCAGGTGTACCGATCTAGTGAGCTGTTCTGCCTGATCCTTCTGTTCTTGCTGTCATACAGAACTGACAGTCTTGGTATCCAGGGCATACCTAATGCATACCACACGCATGGGATGGTCCATGACTATCAGCACACTGAGATCTGACTGCTGAGGTCTGCCAGCAGAAAATGCCCCAAGCATCATCTCTCTGCAGCTCTCCCTTACTGCCTCTTTCTGCTTTGCTTAGCTGTGAAATCTTTTCTGGAGTTAGGGTTGGTGTAAGCTCTTGCTCCCCAGGCACAGTAAGCAGGACTCAGCCGCCAGAGCAGGCATTTAGAGCAAGAAAAACAGTTCCTCTCCTTTTCCTGCCAGAGGGGATTTCAGCTTGCCTCTCCCTTTTTCCCAGCATGCTGTAGCTGCTGGGCCGCTGGGGGCAAGAGGGGCAGGCTCTGGCAACCCCTTTCCTGCCATGCTCATGAGGAACCCAACTCAGCACACGTAGGTTTTGGGACTGACTGTCACATTTGGCCTTTGAGTCACCAGTCCCGGCAGGATATGGACTGACTGACCTACCAAGCTTCTTGCCATTGTTGCTCAGCATGACCAGCACTTCTGCATGTAGGACCAGAGCAAGGGGACTGACAAGCAGTGGCTTTCGGGGAGCTCAGAATGATGCTACCAAGCTGCCGTTGGCAGCCTGAGCTCAGCTGTGGTGCCCAAGAAGCATCGCACGGAAGGAAGGAAACCCCGAAACTCAAGAAAGAACCTCACCCCTTCCCTCTCCCCTGCTCTCAGTCCCCGCAATGGTGCCCAAGAAGCATCGCACGGGAGGAAGGAAAACCCAAAACTCAAGAAAGAACCTCACCCCCTCCCTCTCCCCTGCTCTCAGTCCCCGCACACATCCCCAGGCAGAACAGCCAGGCACACTTTGCCTGCTCCTCCTGCTCCCCCACTCATCGTGCAGGGAAGAGCATTCCCTAAGGATTCCCCAAAGGAACTCTCGGGCGTTGGAGCAGGCTGAGACAGGAGCAATGGCAACACTTAGCCATGTCCAGGCTGGACAAAACTTCCCGACAAACGACACACACGGGCTGGCTGGGGAGGGTGGGTAACCACGGAGGGAAGAGACAATTCCTTGTCCTCCCAGTGCTTGAGAGCTTGGAAGAGACGGACGGGCCAGGGGGCTCCGCTTACAGCTCCAAGCGCGAGCAGCTTCTGAGCGCTTGGAACGCGGTCAAACCCGGTAACTTAAGAGCCCCTCTAAAAACCCCAACGAACCCGCCGGGCTGACCCATAGAAATGGGACTACATACCACGCGCCGGTCCCGCACACGCGTGCCGAGACCAGCAGGGGAGCAGATCTCCCCAGCGCGGCCCCTGTCTGACCCCGCGGCGCTGAAACCATCACCGGCCCAGAGCAATCCCTGCCCGCGCCGAGACCCCCGACCCGGATCAACCCCG